GCCTGGTGATGAACTAAGCGGGATTTGAACTCTGGGCTTTTCTGTAGATCAGTCTATGTCCTTGTTTTGTGCAGCTGCTCCAGACTCCACCTCATAGCCAGTGTGCTGTGTCTGGCAGACCCATCCTTCAGGCTGCTTCTCCTCATGACTGGAATCAAAGGCGTGTTACAGGTCAGAGCTGAATGTTCTGGCAGACTCGCCACGGACAGACGGCTCCATGCCTGCTCAAAACATACAGTGTCTGGTGAAAGCCAGATTGAAGATCGCTAACCTCACCCGCCAAGATTCCAAAAGGAAAAACTGAGCTCAGAGTTTTCCTCTTGGTAGTGATTTTTCTCCTCTCTCTCTCTCGCTCTCTCTCTCTCTCTCTCTCTCTCTCTCTCTCTCTCTCTCTCTCTCTCCTCCTTCCCTCCCTCCCTCTGTCTTAAAAGGGAATCCCCATGTTTACAAATTGAAATCCAAAATGCACAAGCGGTCAGTTGGTGATTCTGTGACCCTCTGTAGGTCTGGGGCTTCCTTGGGAATCAGTAGCAGCCTGGAGAGCAGGGAGCCAAGCCTGCCCTAGGCGGAAAGGAATTCTGCAGAGGGAAACTGTGAGGAGGCTTCAGCGCTCCCAGCCTGGTTAGCCTCTGGTTTTGCCTTCCAGAGACATGTCTGCACTCAGCTTCAACTAGTTTTATGAGCTGCATTTTCAGTCTTTTTTTTTTTTTTTTTTTTTTTTTTTTTTTTTTTTTTTTGAACTGGGATTTTTCTAAACTCCTTATAGAAACCGAGACATGAGTCTGCATTTTGAATTTAAGAGAAACAAGAGTGAGATATGCAGACAGGGCTCAACTCTGTTTCCTGAAAATAAGAACATGGGCTGGGAAGATGGCTCGGTGTGTAGAGGGCTTGCTGTGTGAACAAGGAGAACTGAGTTTGATCTGCAGCACCCATGTAAAAGCCTGATGGCAATGTCTATCACCTAAGCCACAAGGAGGAGCAGACAAGTAGATCCCAGAGACTCTCAGGACTGTAGTAGTGGAAACTGTGAAGTCTAGTTTTGAAGAGGAAGCTTCTCCTGAAAAATAAGACAGTGGCTCACTGGGTGAAAGTACCAAACCTAAGTAAAAGCCTGAGTTCAATGCCTGGGGAGGGGAGAACTGATTCCAAAGCCAGTTGTCCTCTGCCTTCCACACACATGCATCTAGAAAAATTGTAAAAAACTGTACTTAAAAAATGAAAATAAGGTAGAGACTAGAGAAAGATGCCTCTAGCCTTCACACACACATAGCATACATACCCTTAAAGGAAAAGAAATGAGATACCTTCTCTTTAAACCTTAACCTTTAAAATAAGGAGAAAATTCCAGAACAGAACATTTATTTTATACCTGCCTTGGGTGTCTGTTGAGAACTAATAAGTCCTTCCTTGGTGGAAAGTGGCTAGGTTGCCAGCCCCAATTCTAGGAGAGCCCAGAGTGAGCCAGAGCCCAAAAAACTTGAGTGTGGCTGATGGGCCTGGGTGTGGAGGGCTGGGTTTATTTTTAATCTAGGTTCTAGGTCAGTAGTTTAGGGCTGGAGAGATGGTTCAGTCTGTTAAGTGTTTGCTTACAAGCATGGGAACCTGAGTTTACCCCCAGAACCCATTTGGGAAAGAAACGAAACAGAATAAAACAAAACAAAAAAAAAAAGAAAGAAAAGAAAAGAAAAGGAAAGAAAAGAAACAAAGCAAAAAACAAAGCTTAGCATGATGGTGTGCTTATAATCTCAGAACAGAGGAAGCAAAGACAGGTAGATCCCTAGGGCAAAGTCTAGGTCAGTGAGACCTTGTCTCAAAAATCAGTTGAATGGATTTGGGCTGGAGAAATAATTCAACGGCTAGGCACTTGCTGTACAAGCCTGATGACCTGAGTTTGATCCCTGGGACCTATGTAAAAGTGGAAGGAAAGAAGTGTTGTTTTCTGACCTCCTCACACATGTCTTGGTATGTGCATACCCCATTTGCCTCTATGACAATGATAAATAAATAAAAATTTATAGAATGAAGGTGGACGGAGCCTGAGGCTTGAGGAATGATACCTAAGGATGTCCTCTGGTTATCACATATCCTCACTATGCAAGCATATGCACCCCCCAGTGAACACACACACACACACACACACACACACACACACACACACATGAGAGGGAGCTTAGCCTTAACTACTGACCAAGAGTGTGTGGTGTACTTGCCTCTCTTCTCTGAGCCATAGTTTTCTGCTGGAAAATGAGGAGATGGTCTAGGCCACTCCTCTGTGCTCTATGGCAGCTCCAGGAGTCTGGCTGTGGGCTTTCCTTCCTCCTGGATGGTGTTCAGTTCTTCTGCTGTGGCTTTTCTAAAGGAAGCTGGGGGGGTCATGAGATGAACTGGGTCCCCTCAAAATACACGTGTTGGCATAGGGTCTCAGCAAGTTAAAAGGCCTTCAGGGTGAGACCTGAAACAGGATGACTGGATACAGATATGTGAACACACCGAGGGAGGACCATGTGAAGACAATGGAGTAGAGACAGTCATCTCCCAGTTCGGGAGCTTTAGAAGAAACCAATACTACCAACATCTTCATCTTGGCCTTCCAGCCTCCATGCTGAAGACCCCAGTAGGTAGTACTCTGTTTTGGAGGCTCAAGATAATACAGTGGGCTCTAGCACCTTTTCTTGACTTTGGAGAGTGATTATGTGTTTTCATACACCCCCACCCCCCCTTTTTTTCTTCAGGATTTCACTATTGTAACTTTGGCAGTCCTGGAACTCACTGTGTAAACCAGGCTGGCCTTGAACTCAGAAATCTGCCTGCCTCTGTCTCCTTAGTGCTGATATTGAAGGTGTGTCTGTGCAACTGTGCCTGCCTCTCATGTGTTTTGTTTAATATATCTGCTCTTACTCTAAAGTAGGCTTTCATGTGTTGGGATTATTGAGTATTTTGTTTACTTTTTACTAGTTTCTTTATCACCAGATAAAGAAAGTTAGTAGTTTCAGTAAAATAAAATTACTTTCTTGAAGGCATCTTCCCAAGTTTGACCCAACTATTTTGTTTTTTTTGTTTTTTTGTTTTTTGTTTTTTTTTGGTTTTTCAAGACATGGTTTCTCTGTGGCTTTGGAGGCTGTCCTGGAACCAGCTCTTGTAGACCAGGCTAGTCTCAAACTCACAGAGATCCACCAGCCTCTGCCTCCTGAGTGCTGGGATTAAAGGTGTGGGCCACCACTACCCGGCCATTGAGCAGTTGTGAGGGTTTATTTTCATTGTCAGTTTGACTGAATGTGGAATTATCTAAGAGACACCTGGAGGTATGTCTGGGAGGGAGTTTGTAGGGAGGTATAATTGAGAAGGAGAACCTACCTAAGTGTTTGAATCACTATCCCATGGCTCAGGGCCCCAAGCTGAGGAAAATGTGGGCAGAAAAAGCCTGCTGAGCATCAGTATTCTTGTCTCCTTGTTTCCCGACTCCAGATGCACTGTGACCTTCCTCCCATGCTTGCCTCATGCCCTTCCACCACGGCTTCCTCGACAATGATGGACTATATTTCCTCAGACCCAAACCGTGTCTTCTTTAAATGGCTTTTGTCAGCAAGAATAGTAATGAATACACAGTTTTAATTAAAAAAAAAAAAGTTGCTTAGAAACCAAATAGTTCATGAGATTAATCCAAGGGTATTGACTTCAGAACTTTATGTAAGGGACTTTAGAGCAAGCAAGCAATGCAGACGTGTGCAGCCGCTTTTTGTAGTTCTCTGGATTTCGAATTTCGTTCAGTTGAATCCAATTTCCTGAGTCACAGAAAACAGCATTAAGCAGTAAAGAGCCCTCCCATTTACCACCGGTTAAGGAGATGCTGAGACTTTTAAATCAGCCATATTATTATCAAAACAGACTTTTCTTTCAGTTAATACCCAGCTTTGGATTCTTTTACACAACAGTCACCTGCAGCTGGAATGTAGTGTCTAACTTTTACAAAGCATTGGGGGGGGGAATCCTCTTTCTGTCTATCCCTTCCCTCTCTCTCTCTCTCTCTCTCTCTCTCTCTCTCTTTCTCTTTTTTTTTTTTTTTTTCATTGCACCATAGCATTAACACTTCCCAGGGAGGTTTCCAGCATGAAGACCACTCACTGGCAAGGTAGACTCATCAGCCACTGAGGCTCAGCATGTGATTCCAATCAGCTTACACACTGAGAGGTGTGGCTCGACCTTGCTTTCCTACCCCACAGTACACATTGTAGATATGGTGGTTGACATGAGAATTAAGCCACCCACCCCACGTGCATGTTTTTAAACACGTGATCCCCAGTTGGTGGCACTGTTTGGGGGAGGTTATGGAACCTTTAGGGGATACAGTCTTGCTAGAGCATTGGGAAGCTAGCGCTTTGGAAGTTTATAGCATCTCCCTGGTTTTTCTTGTCTGAAAAAAAATGTGATGCAAGCTTCCCATGCCCGCCATCATGCCTGTCTGTTGCCCTGCCTTCCACACCGTTATGGACTACCCCTGTAGAACCGTAAATTAAGATAAAGCCTTTCTTCCTTAAGTTGCTTTTGGACACTGCATTTTATCTCAGCAGTTGAAAAGTAATTATACTATCTTCATTGGCAGTGTGTGCTGATGCAGCAGCTGGACACTAAGCCAAGCAGCACACAGAAAATAGAGCCATTTTTAAAGATTTATTTATTATGCATATAGTATTCTGTGTCCAGGTATGCCTGAAGGCCAGAAGAGAGCACCAGATCTCATAACAGATGGTTGTGAGCCACCATATTGTTGCTGGGAATTGAACTCAGGACCTCTGGAAGAGCAGCCAGTGCTCTTAACCTCTGAGCCATCATTTCACTAGCCCCATAGCTCAAGGTTTTTAACAAGGGCTATTTATTTATTTTTGGTGTGTGTATGTGTTTGGAATTTTTCTTTGGTGGGGGGGTTCATATGGTTACAAGGATGAAAGTTGATAGATTTTTTTTTCAAGGACACACATTTAAAATAAAAACAACACATCTTGGGGAAAGAGGGAAGTCTTTAATTTCCAGCTGTCAAAATAACAGAAAAAAGTCAGCTTATTTATATTCATTTATTTCTATGGGTAATGAATAAGTTAAGGAACACTTCACCTCAAACACAGATCACTTTCATTATTTTATCTAAGCTAAGGTTTTAGTCCCATATATATTTTTGAATTCCCATCAATGTCTAACACCATTTTTTAATTCTTAGAAAAAAGATTCACAAGCACTTTTTACAGCATTCAAGGAAGTCAGCTGAGGGTTCATAAGAATAATTTTCCTTTTAAAAAACATCAATCTGACCAAAATAAAATCATTTTAATTAACTCCTTCCTGAGTAACTAAAACCTTGGAATGTGCTGAAAGGTTATAATAAATAAGGCAAAGACCAACTAGCTTAAAATGTATTTTCTTTTTAAATTAAACTATGTAAAATGTACAATATATTTCATGAAGTACAAACTATGTTGGGCCAGGGCCCGTGTGAGCTGATGAAGTTAAGTACCTTGACTTTTGGGATCTAGGGGCTATGTGCTGGGACAAGATACCACCAGGGTCCTGCAAGTAATATTAGCCCCCTCTCCTGTGAAGTGACAGTGACCATGCTGTTGAGCACACAGCAAGTGCTGTGTAAACTTTTAGAAAGACGGGGAGCTTTATGAGTGACCGGCTGTCCTGGTGTCTTAACAAGACAGGAAAAACAAGCCAATACAGCTTCAGATTGTGAGGTTGAACAGCATGTAAGCTAACCATCACTCTCTATATGTGCTGTCATGGAGATGACTTACAAAGTTGCCATGGAGATGACTTGCAAAGTTCCTCACTGCGGCTCTTCTATTTGGAGAATGGTAGCTGTGCTCTAGGTTGCTCTTCAAAGTTTGGTTAACAGAAAGACTCAGGTCTCTCAGAACAGCACAAAGGCTATTTCCACCCCTCTCTGTGAGCAGTTCTCTTATTCACTTCCCGTCCCAGTTCCCTGAGGCAGAAAGGGGCTCATGAGTGGCCAGTGCTGGGCTTAAATCTCTGTGATTTCTGCCTTCCCAGGAAGCCCATGGGCTGGAGCCTTCTTAATGCATTTCATGATGAAGTAGCTTCAGTATGCACTGGACGGTTTTCAAATGACTGGCTTTAGGCTTTAGATAGTGTCCAGTTCTTGTGAAGGAAGGAAAAACTTCTAGAGAGAAGAAAAGCATGTACCTTTTGTCCTGTCAGAGTCCTGTTTACTTTAAGCTAACTTGCTTGGCTAGTGTTCTTCAAGGGGCAAACCTGAGGCAGACACAAGTTGTCACCAATGTTCTTCCTGCTGCACTCTGGCCTCTCAGCTAGTTGTACAGTATCCACCAGGGAGAATATGATTTTTTCAGGACTTTTTTAAGATAGACACAATCCAGAAATTAAAGGAACAGAAGCATCATGGGTGGTGTGTGGAGTTGGCCAGAGGAAAGAAGTGGACGGCATATTTTGGTGCAAAAGCATTGCCCAGTGTCTACTCAGGTCACAAAGGGGCACCAACCTACTCAAAAGTGGGCCAAGCAGTGTCCTGTCCAGAAGTCTTGCTGTTTCTGGCATTGATGCCCCTGGGGAAGATTATCGGGAGCACGGAGTTTCCATAAATGATTCTACTGATCTTTGCCCAGGACTCAGGGCCCTGTGTTACTAGATACAGCAGCTCGTGAAGGTCTAGAAGTTACAAAAGATACCAAATTCTGTGAAGCACAATTTGGCTATGAGTATGCTTGAGGGATTGTGCCTGGTGTATAGTCAAGCTTAGGATTCCTGACATAGATATCAAGGCCAAAGGTGGCACTTCCACTTGTGACAATCCAGGGGGCAGAGAGGCTTCAGACAGCCACAGCGTTTTCCTGATGCCACATGGCCCTCATATTTGATCTGTCCTGCCAACACTTGACATAACAAGCAAATGCTATCCCTCGCTAAGCTCCTTCCAAGCAGAATGGCACTTGAAGATGGAATGTCTCAATGGCACTTACCATGCATGCGCTTTGATCTTGACAAGTTTCCCAAGCTCTGATTGGTTGGGAATGTGGGTGCCAGAGCTATTTTGTTTTCTCAGTGATAACTACTCTGTTCTTGGTGACAGTGTCGCCTGAGATAGACCAGAGGCAGCCTCCTATCCATGTGGGCAGAAACTCAATAACCAGGGGGCCCTCCCTCATGTTCCTTTTCAGTGCCCCTTCTACTCCCAGATGCTTCTAGACCCCTGCCACTCCGAAATGTTTGTTTCTGCAGTAAGACACAAATCTGAATATCGTTACCACAGAAGTAATATTTTGGGAGACATCTTACAAATGGTAAAATGACTGGGTTGGAGGGCATATTTCTCCCTCTTCTCTCACTGTAGGGGGTGGGTAGGAGATTGGGAAAGCTGTTATATGAAGAGGTGCCTTGTGGTGGAGCAATCTAGTGTATCTGGGAAAGACTCAAGGAGGCAAGGGAAAAAAAAAAAACACAGAATAAAATTAAACAAATAAAACCCGCAAAACCGGGCAGCTCCCAATGACCCCAACATGTGGGAATGTTTTGGTCTTTTTAATGCACCCGGGCATTAACCAAAGTCCCTTCACAATTTTTCTTCTTCAAAAAACTTTCTGGAAAGGGGGGAAATACAGCCACGGTGGCAATGTTGCGCTGGTATCACCTCTTATAAATGTCTTCTAGCCACTTTTCATCATCTTGTTCCTCATCGTCTATAGGCTCGTCGGTCTCCAGAGGGGTGGGAATGAAGAACTGTGGTCGCAGAGGAGGTCTGCTGGTTCGAGACTTCAGTCCGAGCTTGCGCTTCAGTAGGTGGAACTGCTCTTTGACGTAGTGGTAGAACTCGTACTCGTATCTCATTCGCTGGTAGAGAATCTGCACAGCCTCCGGAGAGGGGACAGTTTTCTTCACGGTCACAGTCATGTTGCCAAGTTTCCTATGCTCTGGAAAAGAACCAGGGAGCCCATGAGCAGCTATCTATGAAACGTTGACTCAGAAGTAACCTGTGTGTGGGGGGGGCACATGCGCGCGCGCCTGCCTGCCTGGTATTGGACACCCAACAAAGAGGAGATGTCCCCAAGGGATATGACAAGGTGTCTCATTTCTAGACAGGAGAAAGAGAATTCCCTTGTTTATCTCCTCCAGTGTGCTCTAAACTGGGTAACATGCAGGTGTGGTAGCGCCAGCCACTTGAGCTGTTTAGGACAGCTGTTGGAATTGGTGGTTAGTTTGTTAGCACAGTGAGACCCCCATGTCAATGAAAATGAATAAATAAATGGACACTTGCGTTTTTCTTCTACAAAAAGAGAGGAGAGAGTGAGGAATTATTATTATTATTATTATTATTATTATTATTATTATTATTATTATTATTATTGATTTGAGACAGGGTCTATCATGTAGTCCTGGCTGCCTGGAAACTTATTATGTAGACCAGGATGGCCTCTAACTCACAGAGATTCACCTGCCTCTGAGCCCCCTTCTCCCTGCCCCAGTGCTGGAATTAAAGGTGTACACCACCATATCGGGCTATATTTTATTATTTATTAGTGAAATTATTTGATCCAAACTGTTGTAAAATGAATCTGAAGGATGTTAATAAAAATCACATATGCAGCCATTGGCCAAATATTTGAGAGATCTAGGCAAAGAGAGGATGCAGGCAGAAAAGACAAACTTGGGGGGGGTGGATAACTGTTTTCTTCTGTCTACAGAAGGGTTTTTACTCAGTGCTCCTGGTCTTTTGTTCCCACTCCTCTTCAGGGAGATAAGTCAAGTACATTGTGTCCACATTTCATATTTGTGTGCTGGGGAAGGAGACTACAAAGTTGCTCCCTGGGGCAGGTGCCTGTCTGTGGACAGCACATCCTGTAAGATGGTGTGTGACTTCATGCTATATATGAAGTCATTTTCTTGTCTACCTTCATTTGGCAAAGCTGGCATCTGGACTGGCATCTCTATGTCTCCAGTGTGCATTTATCAATTAGCTTAGAACCAAGGCGTGAGAAAGTGGATGCTATTTATTAGCCTCTCAAACCCCAAAGACAAGTACATAGAACACAAGCTGGGTCATCCTAATGAGTTCTCTAGGAGGTAGGTCAATAGGCTGTAACCGTTCTAGCAGCCAACAAAGAATTTTAACACATTACACTGCTCTTAAAATAACAGAGTCACAATTATTACTAGGTATGAAACCATTTGGAAATGTTTTCCAGCAAGTCTCTTAACAAAAGGCTTCAGTGGAATTAGCAACATTTTAATAGTATCCATGGAGTAAGTCCAGTACATCTGCTCCTGGGCAGCCACGGCTCTGGGGACTCCGCTCACATTCCTTAGCACAGCCTTACTTCATCCACGTTTTATAAGGCAATGAAATCTGCAGTAAGATCCCAAGGGGGGCTTTCCACACAGTTCCCCCACTGTCCTGACAACTGTACCCACTTTTGGGAAGCACTGGTCAGAACAAACAGGAGGTCAAGTCTGTCTGTCTGGAAACTCCTCAGAACAGACAGAGAAAGCAAAGGGCAATTTCCAGTTTCTATCAATAATTCTTGGGTAGCAAGAGATCCCCAAGTGTATTTCTGGTTCCTCAATCTCTTACTCTTCTTAGTCCCTCCTCCAAGTGCCCTCGTGAAATATGAGGGACAATGACAGCTGCTTCGCAAGGATCTTAGGAGAGCCTGTTTTTTTTTTTAATTTTTAAATTTTTTTAAATTAAACTACTGTTTTTCATTAACATCCAATTCTTGCTTCCTCCACCTTTCCTTTCAGTGACTCTCATTGTTAATCTCTCTCTCTCTTTCTGTCTGTCTGTCTCTCTCTCTCTCTCTCTCTCTCTCTCTCTCTCTCTCTCTCACACACACACACACACACACACAGTAGTTCATTTGTAGGGGTGGGGTTACAGCAAGTACTTAGGTATCCTAGGCTGGTCTTGAACTTGTTAGCTGTAGCAATCCCAGACATCAGAATATAATCATTAGGAAGTTAAGGCCTCACCCATGGGCACCCTTTCATAACTTCCCGGGGTGCATGACTCTCATGCTCACTGGGGACATTTGCAAACAAAGAATCCAAGCCAGAACACTTTCCATGGAGGTGGAGGAGGGGGGGGAGCAATCATAGTCCAAGGTCAGTTCAGCAGTGTGTTTGGCCCATGGAGTATTTGTTTAGAAACTGACTTAGTTATAAGGACTTCGTCTATTTCATGTGGAATATGAGTTTCTGGCTTTTCTTAGAGGATGGCCATAGAACTCAGCATGACCATCTCCTTGAGAGAGATGGTGTACTCAAATCCTAAGTGTCAGCTCATTATTTCATGTCACCTCCTTTACTGCTATAGAAGACCCTGCTTGAGAGGCTTAGACACTCTGGGTTCTGTATACCCAGAAAGCAGGTATTTTATGTTAATGCTCCTCGGTGTGTCCACTGCCACCTTGCTCCCCTCTCTCTACAAATATTGATTGAATAGCCATTTGGTACCAGGTGCAGGAGCTGCAGAAAGTGAATGGGACATTGTCATCACCACCAACAGACATTCTGACAGCTTGCCCTGTGTCAGGCTCTGTGAGATATGAACACACATTTTTGGTTCTTGTGAACCCCCGGCCCCCAGTGCTATGGGGTCATTTATCACCTTACAGACATGGCTCTGGAATCCAGTACTCTGCTCAGGCTCACAGAACCAGAAAGCAGGGAAGTTAGAAGTTGGGTCTGAGAGTCTGACAAGCTGAGCCAACTTTCAATCATGCTAAAGCAGAGCTGGCCTCCAGGGTTAAGTGGACACCTCCCCCTCCCACAGAACTAGTGGCCACAGGAGGGGAAGGCAGGGCATTCTGGTTTGCTTCTGGGCATTGGCACTTCCTCTATGCCGTCAGAAGCCAGAACTGGTGGACTTTCTTAAACACTTCGCACAAAGATGGGGCTTTCATACCTGCCTCCTTTACAGTTCTCCAGTTTGTCCAGTTCACCAACAGGCACCAAGGCCCCAGGAGACTGGCTCAAGGTGATAAGCCTAGCATGGGAAGTCCTGAGCCTGGAGAGAAAGCTTTCTGATCCCTTTCTAGCACCTTCTGACTGTATCACAGGCTATTAGTTTCCAAATGGAGTGGAAATCTATAACCACCCACTTCTCCTGGCCCAGTGTGTACTCTGGCATTACGGGGATTGGTCAGAGAGAACGGGCGAGTGTTCTAACTCGTCGGGGTGGGAGTAGGGGTGGGGAGTCAGGAGGATCTGCTGAAAAAGGCAGCAGCCAGAAAAAGTGTTTTCAGAATAAAAGGGACTGTGTCTTTCTCAGCTCCCCAGTGCCCATCTCTGTGCCTGGAACATAACTATGATCCACAGAAGTCTGTTGACTTGAAATCTGCATTTGAAATCCATCAGTAAAACTGGATTAACCTCAAGGGCAATTTGGGGTGTTAAACGTTACATAGGCTGTTGCTTGTTAAATTCCCTTCTCATTTGAGGTTCTTCCCTAAGCAAACCTTCATGTCTAGAAACTGGATTTCTTGAGGTAAGCAGGGGAAGCCATGGCTGCTCTGGACAGGATGGAAACTGCTCCCTCCACCTTCTGTTGAAGAAACCATGTAATGGTGACAGGTCACTTTCACAAACTCAGTCAAGCTGAAGAATTACCATGATAAGGGATGATTTGCCACAAACTGAAATATCTGTGCAGACAGATCTGTGTCTCTGCCACCTTACAGTTAATACATTTGTGCTAGGTGTATTATAACTCTAGACAATAATGAAAGAGACCTGAGCACTGCTGGTCAGAGTGACATCTGTGTTGTGACTCTTTTGCTGTTATCAGTGGTACTCAGTGATCTGCCTGGCCACCATTTTTGATACCTTTCATGTTGTTCTTCCATTAGCACAAGAAAGATGTTCTTTTTAGAGATGGCGCAAGGAAGTGTTTCCAGTGCAAGAGTGAGGACTGGAGTTTGGATATGCAAGTTATGCAAGAAGCTGGGTAGAAGCGCCAGTTTGCCTGTAATCCCAGGGCTCAGGAGGCTGAGACGGGAGATTTTCAGGCACACTGATAGCTAGACTAGCTGAACTGATAAGCTCTGGGTTCAGTGAGAGACCCTGACTCAGTAAGTAATGAGGAGAGGAATTGAGAAAGACATCCAATGTCTCTCCACATGTGTGCACATTGTATATATATGAATACACATCCATGTGCACACACACACCACACACACACACACACACATACACATGCAAAAACAGAAGAAGTAAAACATTCATTTAGATCACACCCATTTGCTCTTTGTGCCAAGGGACCTGCTGTGGATATAATTTAAATGGGGTCTTTTTGGTCGACCTTGAGTATTTCCTTGTGGAATATATCATGTCAGGCTCCAGGGAGCATCCTCAGAAAACTGAGCTTTCGGAGGAAGGGTGGCCCAGCACAGACAAGTCCTACAGGGCTTTGGGAACCTCATCCTGGTTCAGTCCATGTCACCACTGCATGGAATGCAGAGGCCATTGCAAAATGTAAAGATGCTGTGTGCCAGCACCTGGTCCTTCCAGTGAGCCATCCTACTCACACGAGGCTTTCGGTGTTCAAGCATAATAATAAATATTGCTCACCAATCACCTCATTTGTGTGTAGTAACAAGCGCAGTGTATTTAATTCCAGTTGAGGCTATGACTGGATTTGGCTTTACTGACCCAAATCTGGACATTTGGCAAAAGCCTCAGCTCTCTCTACCTTTGTGGCATGGACACGATGTTTAGACTGGTTCATAATCTTCAGGACTCTAAAAAGTCCCTTTGATGTAAATAAAAAAAGAAATCGAAAACCTGCCCCTTGCAGCGCCCCCTCCCACCCCTCTCTGTCTGTCAAACATTCATAATGGAAATACGTTGTTGCCTTGATTCTGGGCCAGGATAAACAATCTGGAAACAGTGTGTAAACTCAGCTGCAGTGGAGGAC